GTTCTTTGGCCCACGCTAGTCTGGTTTTCTTTTGAATCTTTGTCAGTACCGGCTTCACTTTTGCCTAGAAATACCGAATTAAAAACGAATAATAAAGAAATAATTCAAGCCTACCTTTGTATGTTTTAAACCTCCGTTTTCAGGAAGCTCTGTGACAAGTTTGCTCTTGAACACATTTTTGTGGTTGCCTTATTCCATAATAATCGTTATAGGTAATTGGCACGCCGATATGCCTTGATAATCCGTTTTAAGCTTCAAGTAGGTATTGAAATAACGCGGGCAACTTCCAGTTCTGGGTTTTTGAGCGACATATCCCGTTGTTTTGTACAATTTAATAATACACCAATACATTGAAAGCTAATTTAAATGTCAATCAGCTTCTTAGCAATGTCCACCCTTTTTTCAAAGATGATCAGGATCCTCTGTAACGTCAAAATATGAAGTTTGAGCGGCTTCTTTTTGTTTTGTTTTGTTTCGTTTTTAACATTTTTTCGCTACCACAGGACCGATTATCAAAGCACACACAATTTTTTCGTTCTGTTCCAAAATGATCACGAAGCTGTGAAACATCGAAAAACGAAGTTGGACCGATTTTTTATCGGTTTTTACTACCGGCTCTGCCGCCACTCTACTCATTTTCAAACAGTGAAATGTTATCATTTGTTTTAAAAAGCCTTCCTTTATTTTATCGAAGCGTATAAACAGACCATTCAACTTGAGTTGTCTTCATCATATATTTTGCTATACACAAATCATTTTGCAAAGAAGAATAAAAACGCTTTAAAAATAGCCGAGTCGGTTAGCTATCTTTAAATAAACATTTAAAGAAACCAAAATTATATTTGAAATAAAATTTTAATTAGCCCTCAAATAAATTCACAAATATCATGTTTCGGAGCGATGGGCCAACTTCACCGAGACAGGGCTCGTACATGCAGGAGAACGGGCCGATACGACAGTTGCATCGGTCCTTCAGATGCAGAAAATAATCCGACTGAGCATGCTCCAATTCCGGAAAAAGATCAGGAATTTCGCGATTACTCTAGTCTCAGGCGCGGATCCAGGAGGGAGGGGGTTATGACCCTCCCAGGCGAATTTAGTTCGTCCACCAATTTTTTAAGTTCCAACAGATACATCTGTAATGCACCTTTCAGTCAACATCAGTTCTATTTCTTTCTTTAGCATCTGAACCTGCACAGTATTCATTACGCTCAATACTGAATGCCACCATAACAAATTCAGGAAAAAGGCCCAGTTCATGGCGGAAAGGAGAGATCTTGCATTCATTATATCTTCGCCAGAAGCTCCCACTCTTGAAATTTCATCTTCTATGCAATTGAAAATATACTAAGTGACATATAAATCCGAACACCCAGTTTAAATGGTTTTATTTTAATAAAATTTTGTATAAGTACTTAATGAAGCATAATAAGTAAATGATAAAAATTTCAAAATGATTGCACTGCTTTAAACCCCTTTGACCTTTAATAATTTGTGGATGCACCCTGATGTGATACGCATTCTCCAACGCGCCTAGGCATGCTTCTGATCAGGTGGTCAATGTCCTCCTGAGGTATCTCATTCCAGGCAACCACCAACTCCTCTCGAAGTGCTTCTAGAGTCTGAGGATGACGTTGCAAATTGAGCAATCTCCTACCCATCATATCCCACACGTGCTCAATTGGGGATAAGTCGGGAGATCTTGGTGGCCATGGTAACAATGTGACATCATCATGTTGAAAGAAGTCTATTGTGACTCTTGCAACATGTGGTCGGGCATTATCTTGTTGGAAAGTTGGATCTGCCAGGGTGTCAAGATAGGGTAAAAGATGGTGTTCTAGAACTTCGTGGATATAACGCTGCGCGTTCATGTTACCTCTGATGAAGATTAAAGGTGACCTGGAACCATAAGCTATAGCACCCCAAACCATAACTCCAACAGTGTGATGAACATGTCTTTCAACAAAAAACTGTGGATTCCTCCTTTCACCACGTCGCCTTCTAACCCTGGCACGACCATCGTGCATGCCTAAACAAAATCGAGACTCGTCACTAAAGACAATACTGTTCCATTCCTGATCCCAGAGTGACCGTTGTCTGCACCACTCAAGGCGATTACGTCGGTGTTCTCGAGTTAAAGGGAGGACCCAGTGTGGCCGGTATGAAAACAAGCCAAAACTTCTCATTCGTCGGTAAACACTTCGCATGCCAATAGGTCTTCCGGGTTCTGCAAACCATTCATCTGCAATGGACCTGGTAGTGGAGAAACGGTCCCTTAAGGTCAATAATCTTAGGCGGCGATCTTCACGGTCTGTTGTTCTACGGCGGCGTCCAGTGCCCCTTGCTCTTTGCGTACGGCCTTCTCGAAGCCATGCCTGACAACACCTAACCACTTCTTTGCACTCTAACTGCAATTGCCCGAAAAGAAAGTCCAGCTTCCCGAAGTCCCACTATACGGCCCTATCAAACTCACTAAGTTGACGAAATCGTACAGGTCTCCGTACTATAGGCATCGTAACCGATCGTAAAGGATGTCAAGAACCAAAATCCGCCAAAGTTGATTCTTTACTGCGGCTGGAATATTCATTTTTAGAGCGTTAGTGAATTAAAAAAAAAGCAGTATAAAAACCGGAATGGGCAACTGATAAGGCTGAAAATTTTTTCACTTGTTATTTACAGTAAGATAAATACATTCACCAACTTTTATTAAAATAAAACCATTTAAACTGGGTGTTCGGATTTATATGTCACTTGGTATACATTCAAAAAATTTCTTCCACGATATTATCATGAAGAAAATAGATATGTCATCAAATAAAAAAATTCACAGTATTGTTTATGGTTATAAGCATTGGGGACGAGAAAAGACTGTAATAGACGCACTAGACTGAAAGAGGCTGATTCATACCACGAAGACATTTATTTATTGAACATTTTATGCCAGGTAATAATATATCACTGTAAGCACAAAATGAAAAAATAACCCCACCACTCCTTGAGAAATAAAAGGGTCATTCGGTCATTTTTTTAGAAATGAAATAGTCGTTTTTCAAAAAATTTCTTATAAATGAAAGGGAAATTATCTTATTCAAACTGAATGCTAACGCGCTGTTTCATAAACATTACGCATATGGTCATTAAAAGAATATAACAACACTCTGATTTCTTGTTATTAATTTTATAGATTTTTGATGGGGACGCCCTTCCTTGGGGGAGGGGGGGGGGGGTCTGTTAGGCGACAATGTCCATTTTGCCATTACTTAAATCCGCCACTGTGTCGGACAAAACCACAAAAATTGTTGCACTGGATTCAAAGGACATGGTAAGTATTAATATTAATCGAATCGCAGGAAGACAAAAAAGAAGAATTGATTTTGTTATTTAACAATGAATTGTTTATTTTTAAATTAGATTTAATATTCTAATCACTTTTAGGCTGTAGGGTTGTCATCTGCCATCCGTCCGCCAGTCAAGTTTTTAATTTCCTCCATGTCAGAGGCATTGATGTCAGCTCCCCTTCCCCCCCCCGCAGGCAAGAAGAACATCTTCCTGAACATGCCGTTTTTTGACAAATCCTGGATCCGCCGTTGTCTAGTCTGCTCCCCTATCACTACCAAAAGAAAGAACAAAACGTGCATGAGGAGCAACATTTTGATCCATTGCAAGGCCATATCCAATGCTGACCTCGTTCTGTCCATATGTCTGGAACACGCGAAAAGCTGATTTCTAGAATCATTCATCATCCGAGTATTTGTTATGTAATCCGAATGTAGTAAGAAAAGTAGTAATGGTGCATCTTGACCAGCGGTGGTCGCATCCCAGGTGGTAGGAGTCCTTGACGGCTGAGACGATGCCGAATCTGTGAGGCATGGATGACGGTGGATCAGTTGTATTCAAACGACGTCTTCCATCGCGCGCGCAATTATGATGATGATTTATATGTCACTTAGTATACATTCAAAAAATTTCTTCCACGATATTATCATGAAGAAAATAGATATGTCATCAAATAAAAAAATGCACAGTATTGTTTATGGTTATAAGCATTGAGGACGTGAAAAGACTGTAATAGACGCATTAGACTGAAAGAGTCTGATTCATACCACGAAGATATTTATTTACTGAACATTTTATGCCAGGTAATAATATATCACTGTAAGCACAAAATGAAAAAATAACCCCACCACTCCTTGAGAAATAAAAAGGTCATTCAGTCATTTTTTTAGAAATGAAATAGTCATTTTTCAAAAAATTTCTTAAGAAATGAAACGGAAATTTTCTTATTCAAACTGAACGCTAACGCGCTGTTTCATAAACATTACCCAGATGGTCATTAAAAGAATATAACAACACTCTGATTTCTTGTTATTAATTTTATATATTTTTGCTGAGGGGGCCCTGTGATCACCCTTCCTTGGGGGAGGGGGGGGTCTGTTAGGCGACAATGTTCATTTTGCCATTACTTAAATCCGCCACTGTGTCGGACAAAACCACAAAAAAGTTGTTGCACTGGATTCAAAGGACATGGTAAGTATTAATATTAATCGAATCGCAGGAAGACAAAAAAAGAAGAATTGATTTTGTTATTTAACAATAAATTGTTTATTTTTAAATTAGATTTAATATTCTAATCACTTTTAGGCTGTAGGGTTGTCATCTGCCATCCGTCCGCCAGTCAAGTTTTTAATTTCGTCTATGTAAGAGGCATTGATGTCACCCCCCCCTCCCCCCCCCACCACAGACGAGAAGAACATCTTCCTGAACATGACGTTTTTTGACAAATCCTGGATCCGCCGTTGTCTATTCTGCTCCCCTGTCAGTACCGAAACAAAGAACAAAACGTGCATGAGGAGCAACATTTTGATTCATTGCAAGGCCATATCCAATGCTGACCTCGTTCTGTCCATATGTCTGGAACACGCGAAAAGCTGATTTCTAAAATCATTCATCATCCGAGTATTTGTTATGTAATCCGAATGTAGTAAGAAAAGTAGTAATGGTGCATCTTGACCAGCGGTGGTCGCATCCCAGGTGGTAGGAGTCCTTGACGGCTGAGACGATGCCGAATCTGTGAGGCATGGATGACGGTGGATCAGTTGTATTCAAACGACGTCTTCCATCGCGCGCGCAATTATGAAAGCTACTGTCGCGCTGTTCGTCGCGCTTGCCGTCGTTGTTGTACAGGGTGAGTGGCGCTTTTTTATGTTGAATTTAATTACGACTTCCTGGTAATAGCTTCTATTAATAGTGATGAATTTTTGTAATCTTGTGATTCAAACAGAATTAGTCTCTAAAGGCAGACCGTCACGGTACATTTTTTTTTCATATTTTGGTACTAAATTTTGTGAGAAAATGTGTTACTGATTTTAGTTCCCAATTTGTGGATAATGGTGGCTGTATTTCGTTTCATTTCCTTTTGTAATGCACGAGTGGTTGTGGGCTTGTTGAGATAGACCTTTGACTTTAAATAACCCCATGACAAGAAATCTGATGGTGATAAATCGCACGATCTGGAAGGTCAATTCTGATCACCGAAACGGGAAAGTTCACGATCAGGAAATGTCTCACGCAGTAACTGAGTAGTTTCACTGGCTCTATGGCATGTGACACTGTCTTGTTTCAAAAGGTATAGTCCAATGAAGCCTTCAGCCCAAAATCCGTTCTTGGTGTATTTGTTTTCGACAATCACACTTGGATTCTCCGAACCCCAAATACGGCAATTTTGGCGATTATCAAAGCCATCAAGGTGAAAATGTGCTTCATCGCTTAGGATGATTTTGCTCGAAAAATCAGCATCCTCTTGTTGATGTTATAATAATCCATTCGACGAGCTCTCTTCGCTGTTCATGGTCATTAGAGGCTTCAGTTGTTGTGTTGATTGGATTTTGTAAGCATGAAGACACTGATCTTTTGTGAGTATACGCTGTAGAGAGCTTTTTGAAATTCTTGTTCACGATGCCGAATGACGTTCCTGGGTTTTCACCGATATTGACATTTTGAACGGCGGACGATCGGTGTGTTTAGCGCCTCCAACTGATCCAGTCTCCCTGAATTTTTCGATTACTTTTTTCACAGTGGATGAGGTTAAAACACTATCCGGCTATATTTTGTATAAAATTTCCGAACTGTGGACGGTAAACTTTCATTATTTTTGAAATATTGTTCAGGACAACAAATTTTAGTTTGTTAATTGTATCTTGAGGGAAAAGTGCACTTCTTTGTTAATTTTGGGGCGCTGAATCCAATAATGACAATGAAATAAAAAAATTAGTTGCGGTTTAGAAAAAAAACTTTTTATTTTTAAGGATATATTAAAAAAAGTAACAAGATTCATATACATACTTATAAGAATCACTATATGCGCTGTCTTTTTGCTGTTCTTTTATGGATCGTTTCTGGAGCATCTACCAAGAGTCCAACAGTAGTCTGCAAGCATGGAAGGATTCCACTTTCCCTGGTACCTTTTTTCCATTGTTGAAATATCCTGATGAAAACGTTCGCCGTGCTCATCACTTACGGCTCCGCAATTGTCAGGAAAAAAGTCCAGGTGTGAGTGTAGGAAATGTATCTTGAGAGACATATTACAGCCCATCTTTTGATACGATGACAGCATATTTTTGACAAGGGTTTTATAGTTGTCAGCTTTTCTATTTCCCAGGAAATTAGTGACCACCAGACGTAAATCATTCCAAGCAGTTTTTTCAATACCTGTTAAAGTGTTTTCAAACTGTGTATCTTTCAAAATATTTCGAATCTGTGGCCCAACAAAAATACCTTCTTTAACCTTTGCCTCACTTAGTCTTGGAAATTTCTGACGCAGGTATTGAAAAGCTGACCCATCTCTATCTAATGCCTTGGCAAAGTTTTTCATTAGGCCCAACTTGACATGCAGTGGTGGTAATAAAATTTTTTTCGAATCTACTAATGACATATGCTGTACATTTTTTGACCTGGCTCTAGGAATTGACGAACAGGCCAGTTTTGTCTGGTGTAATGAAGTGCCTTTGCCCGACTGTCCCATTCACACAAAAAACAGCAAAACTTTGTGTAGCCTAGCTGCAGCCCAAGTAAAAGTGCAACAACTTTCAAATCCCCACAAATATGCCATTGGTGCTCATCGTATTTTATGCATGTCAATAGGTACTTCATATTGTCATATGATTCTTTCATGTGAACTGCATACCCTACAGGAAGAGATGGTAAAATATTTCCAATATGCAATAACACTGCCTTTAAACTCAATGTTGAACTGTCTATAAACAATCTCCATTCTTCTGGGTTATAGTTTATATTTAAAGCCGCCAGTAAGCCGTTAATGTTACTGCAGAAAACCAAGTTATTCTACATATTATTGAAAAATGGTTCTAAGTCTTTGTGGCGTTTACGAAAAACACATACCGAAACATCGTCTTCTAACAAGTTCCACTGCTGCAGTCTTGATCCTTACATTTTGGAAGTTCTAAATCTCTTACAAGATCATTTAATTCTGACTGTGTTATTTTGTGCGGTTTGTGGCATGACGTGCTCGGTATAAAATCAGGATATCTTGACGTTGATGGCATATCTTCTTCCTGACGAATCACTCGATCGCCATGATCTGATTCGTTTTCTGATTCGCAAGTGTAGGATTCTGAGGGTTTTGGAATAGGATTTTCGTCACTGTGAGGCACAGGTCTCATCGCAGATGGTATGTTTGGGTAGCTAATAACCGATTTTTTTTTCTTGGACATACCTGTGGCTTGTCCAACACAAGGTACCATGCAAAAGTAACAATCATTAATATGATTTGTAGGCTCTCTCCAAACCATTGGGACAGCAAAGCGCATAGACCGTTTTTTGCCATTTAACCAGCTCCTCAGACTTGAAGCACATGTATTACAGCAGATGTGGGGTGCCCACTGTTTGTCTTGATCACCTAGTTTACAACCGAAATAAAGCTGATAATGCCTTTGTTATTAGTGGAGTAATAGACCGTCTCTGAGACGCAAAAGTCACATCACCACACACGTAACAAAACTGATCTGGATTGTTTACACACTTTCGAGACATCTTGCATGAACGCTGTCAGCCAACTGAGGAAAAAATGGCTAATATAAAACAATATAATGTACACGTATGTATAACGTAACACAATCATGCCGATTACATCATCTTTCCTTGCCGAATATAAAAGTGTAGCACGTGCATTCTTGTGAATTACAGTATATTAACAATGTCACAGCAGGAACACATATAATTACCGTATCTCTAAAACTTGAACTAATATTGAAAAAATAAGTTTCATTCCGGTTTTAGCATATTGAGAATAGTAATATTTTGTTGATTTTATTTAGGATATTTTTTGGCTGTTGATCAGTGTAATGAATACACGTTGTTGTATCGTCTTCTGTTCGTCATTGTCTGTTAGAGCGGTCCGTAGGACCTTTGCTCTTGGTTGAAGTCTTGTAAGTCAGTAGGTCTGTCAGGTCTGGATACCAAACAAAGTCAGGGAGAAAGAAGGAAAGATGAAAGGAAGGAAGGAAGGAAGGAGGGAGAGCAAAGAAAAAAGAAGTTCGTCAATTTGAGGGGTGCCGTGGCATTGCTAATTAGTATTCGGCAATTTTAAATATTGATCCTAAAATTAATTTTGGCATTGGTTGTTGAAGAAAAATTATAATTTTGGCTGGACCTAAAGTCACATGATTTAATTTTGTTCACAGTGCGAGTCGCGGTCTTGTGTGCTTGCGAACTTGCTCGACTGTGTAGTCTACTGACTCGCGCAACAAAGGGTTGTTATGCGATTCCGCTTGACTATAATGTAGCTGCGCTCGTTGTTTGATGTTTTCCCTTAGTTAAGGGATGTCAAAGTCTCTGTGAAGGGTCACGATGGAAACATACCATGGGGCGTTAGTGATTGTACGCAAGGTTCTGTTCTGCAAAACTTGCAGGCTACGCAAATGCGTTTTGGCAAGAAAACACCAAGCCGCACTTGCGTAAGTGATCGCTGGTCTAATTACCATCTTGTATAGCCGATGTTGATCAAACTTAATTTTGATGTTCTACATAGCATAGGGTAGAGTTGCCGAACCTAGATTTAGAATTTAGTTTTTAACGCTTCAGTGTGCTTCTGCCAGGTCATTCCCTTGTCAAGAGTGACACCGAGATACTTAGCAGAGCTTTCCCATGGTAGTTGTATTGTATAAAGCTCCATTTCTGCTGTCCCTAACCTCTCAGCTGTCAAATATCATTCCATTTGATGCCACATTTTGAATTATGATTCGTACACATCGTAAGAGTGAATGATTGTAACAACCCAGTAGCACTAGACAAAATATTTAATATTCTAATCATTATTTTATCCAAATCATTCTCCTGCTACTGAATCTCAAAATCTACCAAGCTTTTTCGTCCTTGTGATAATGTTGATTTATGCAAATCCAAATGGTACTTTTTGACTAAGCGATTATTAGTTTTTGACGGATTATTCTACCGGTGCTGTATTAATTCTTGGCAACGAGAGAGGTGTTTTAATGATATACAATCTTGCAACTGTTCCCTTGGCAAAGAGCCCTTCATTTCGGCTGGTCGGAGTCCAAATCACCGAAGACTTTGATCCGGCACGAATACGTCTCGTCAATAGCTGCAGCCGCGGTGTTCTGGAAATTAGGCTTCTGCCTGCGATTCTGCTTCGATGTGAAAAAATATCTGAGAAAATCCTAAAAAATTGGAAACCGAAGGAGTAAGCGGATAATGAAATTCTAGTTGCGACTGTGATCGCAAACTAATCAAAACTACCAGTCTATTCCACCTGCCCAGGGCCCAGACTTGATGGGCGTGCTCAAAATACCGAGAAATCGAATGAAATTTCCATAGCATGGTGAGAATTCGGATGTTGATCTGGCGTGGGGCCCCAGGCTTTATGTGTGGCTAGGCCCCGCACCTACCGCTCTGCACCACAGAATACAAATACATATTCATTAACATTCTTGTTAAGTGTTATAATGGGTGATTTTTTTGCTAGTATCTTTTTGGCAACACTGTTTTTGACAGATGACGCGTGAATCGTGTCTTGTGTCATTGTCAAACTTGTTCAGTTTGGTCTATAATTTAACCATGTATCGACTTACGAACGAACAACGCTAGCAAATTATTGAATTTTACTATCATAATTCATGCTCGGTTAAGAGAGTGCATCGAGCACTGCTT